TGAAAGTCGTGCGCGTGCGTGTTTTGGAAGGCGGGGGCTGTCAGCTCGCGGCTGCGCCGAGCAGCCGGGCCTTCCGACCCATCGGCTCGGGCAACGCCCACTGCGTCGGGCCCGCGACGCAGACAGAAAATGTTGACCTGCATCGGGGTCCCTTGGAGCACTCCGGGGGCGCTTTTCGTCTGGGGACCCCTCTGCTTCGTGGGGCGGCGAATTCGGGGGAATCTCTGCGTCGTCGTCGTCGTCGTCGTCGTCGTTGCCGTCGTGGTCGTCGTCGCCGCCGCCTCGGCGAATCGGGCACCCCTAGAGCGCCCTCGGCGAGGCGCACGTGCTGGGTAGCACCCGCCGCCGCCGCAGCAACCGTCGTCGTCTTCGGCCGGGCGTCGTCGTCGTTGTCACCGTCGCCGCGGCCGTCGTCGTCGTCGGCCGGGCGTCGTCGTCGTCGTCGTCGTCGTCGTCGTCGTCGTCGGCCTCGTCAGCCTCGTCGTCGTCGTCGTCGTCGTCGTCGTCGTCGTCGTCGTCTGGTGGTTGTCGGGCCGGAATATTTCAGGCCTTCGACGACCGTTCGGGACGAATGGGTAACCCTGGGGGCGCCGTCGGCGACACGCTGCTGCCCGATAGCATCACGAGGGGCTGCCGCTGTCGTCGCCGTCGTCGTCGTCGTCGCTATCGTCGTCGTCGTCGTCGTCGTCGGCTGGGCGGCGCCCGAGGCGGCAGCAGCTGGGCCTGCAGCCGCCTGGGCCGCCAGCCGCTCGCAGGCGCGGCGGCCCGTGCTCCGGCCATCTTCGCCGCCGTCGTCGTCGCCGCCTCGGGGAGATCGGGGGGGGTTCTTCGCTTTCCGCCTCCCGAGGCCGTTCTCGCGTCCCGGGTGAATCAGAAATCTATCCAGGACGAAAAATTGTGCGGAGGGACCCCAGGATGTCGCGTCGCCGCCGCCGCTGCCGTGGCGAGGACCGGGGTTCGAGGATCGAGGTTCGAGGCTCGAGGAACGAAGTTCGAGGACCGAGGATTTTGGACGCTCTCGGCCCCTCTTGAGCCTCAAGGGGCCACGTCCGAGGCGGACGCCCCGGGCAGACGTGCGGCCGCCGCCGTCTCCGTCGCCGCCGTCGCCGTCGTCGTCGCCGCCGCCGCCGCCGTCGTCGTCGTCGCCGCCGCCGCCGCCGTCGTCATCGCCGTGCGAGTTTCGAACTTCGAGGTTAGTTTTTTTTTGTTTTTTTTTTTCGTCGCCTTCGGCCTCCGGGGGCCGTTCTCGGGCCCCAGGACAATCAAACATCGACGCCAAAACGGGAACCTGGGAGAGATCCGGGGACCCTCTCGGGTACTTCCTTCGCCCTCTCGAGATCTGGAGTGTCCATGGCCCTCTCGAGTACTTGGCATTATCCAGTATTTCCTTGGCCCTCTTCGTCTTCGCTGCTTCCCATTTCGGACCTGGGACGAGGTTCGAAATTCGGACCTCGAGGATGAGGGTTCTTTCCAGCGAGTGGCCACCGAGGTCCTTCCTCCTGCCCCCTCCTTCCCCCCCCCTCCCCCTTTCGACGGTCCCTCTCGGGCCTCCGGGGGCCGCGCCAGAGGCGGCCGCCCCGGGCCAACGTGCGGCCGAGGGGAAAAGGGGGAAGGGGGAGGAGGAAAAGGGACAGGGGGAGGTGGAGGAGGAGGAGGAGGGCGATGGAAGAGGAGGGCGTTATTTAGCTCGGCACCATCGGAAGCTCGACCGTGGGGGGGCCAGGGGGGCCGCCGGACTCTGGAAGCAATGGAAGTACGTTCACGTCCAAGTTCGAAGTTCGGACCTCAAGGATGAGGGTTCGACGCGTCGTCTTCGGGGGTCCTCCCCGTCGCCACGGCCGGGCGCGGCTTGGAGCACAGGTGCGCTCGGACCCCCGGAGCAGTCCGGGGAGGCCCCCGGAGACCCTACGCCGTGCGAAAACTGCTGCACCTAGCATTCTTTGAGTGCGGCAATATTGTTTATCACTGTCGCCGTTTGGGCTTGGGAGCAGCAGCCATGGTTCAAAAGGCATGGCCGGGTGCAGGCTCGCGGAAGCCTGGTTGGAAACACATCCAGGCATCTCTGAAGGCGCAGGCTGACGGCCCTTCGCCGCCGCGCAAGCGCGCGAAGCGGGAGCCGGAAGCGCTGGCCGTGGCACTGGCCAAGGCGCCGGCCGAGGCGCCGGCCGAAGCGCCGCCCGCGGGCGGGCTGGGGCGCCGGCCGAGGCGCCTGCCGAGGCGCGGCCCGGCCGTGGCGCTGGCCGAGGCGCCGGCCGAGGCGCCGGTCGCGGCGCCGGCCGAGGCGCTGGTCGCGGCGCTGGCCGAGGCGCCGGTCGCGGCGCCGGCCGAGGCGCCGGTCGCGGCGCCGGCCGAGGCGCTGGTCGCGGCGCCGGCCGAGGCGCCGGTCGAGGCCCCCGAAAACCTGCTCCGGGAGGTTTCGTTTGGCATGGTGTCGGGCCCTCCGGGGCCTCTCCCGGAATGTCCCGTGAGGCATGGTGTCGGTTCCACGGGCGCTTCCCGGGACGTCCTGTTTGGCAGGGTTCCTTTTCGGTGCCGGGCCGCCGGGCCCCCGAAAATCAGCCCCGGGAGGTCCCGTTTGGCATGGTGTCGGGCCCCCTGGAGCTTCTCGGGAGGTCCCGTTTGGCATGGTGTCGGGCCTGGGTGCCTCCCCCGGAAGTTCCGTTTGGCATGGTGTCAGGCCCCCCAAAAATTCGTCCCCGGAGGTCCCGTTCGACATGGTGTCGGGCCCCCGAAAACCCGCCCCACCCAGGAGGTCCCGTTCGGCATGGTGTCGGGCCCCCGGGGGCTTCTCGGGAGGTCCCGTTTGGCGCGGGGTCGGACCCATGGGCGCCTCCCCCAGAGATCCCGTTTGGCATGGTGTCAGGCTCCCCGAACCCGCCCCATTCGGCATGGTGTCGGGCCCCGGAAAAACTTGCCCTGGGAGGTCCCGTTTGGCATGGTGTCGGGTGTCGGGCCCCCGGGGGCTTCTCGGGAGGTCCCGTATGGCACGGTGTCGGGTTCCCGGGGGCTTCTCCCAGGAGGTCCCGTGAGGCATGGTGTGGGGCATCCCCGGCCGGGAGGTCCCGACGCCATGCCGAACGGAACCTCCGGAGGCCGTCGCCGCCGAACAACCAGCTGCCGCAGGGCCCGCGCGCAACCGGCGGGGGCGGAAACGCCGTGCCCCGGCTTGTTCCGCGCCTGCGCCCAGCCTGGAGGATGCGGAGGCGCTTGCCGTTTCGCAATCGCGGGCGAGCTCGTCCCGGGCGACAGCGGCAAGGTCTGCGCCAGCGGCGGTTCGCATGGCGCTGCGGCTGAAGGCGGGCCGCACTGCTGCCGCGTTGCGTCGCTTGCAGAACTTCGACTTGCTGCGTTGCGACCACGTCGCCCACGCGCCCCCCCCCGTGGCTGTTGGATTGGCCGCCGTCTGGGACGGCGCGGAGGTCTTGGTGCTGGACACGTTCACTTTCCGAGGCAAGCTGCGCTGCGACGTCGCCCACGTGGAGCCCGCCACCAAGAGAGAGGCGTCGAGCGGGCCCACGGAAACAACCGCACGAGTCCCCCCCTGACCCGCCCGCTCCCTGAGCGCGGATGGGCAAGAGGGGTGGTTCCTTGCAGTGGCCGGCCGGCGCGAAGGACACGGCGTCGGGTACCCGAAAATCTGCTTCGGGACGCCCCGTTTGGCATGGTGTCGGGCCCCCGGGGGCATCCCCGGGAGGTCCCGTTTGGCATGGTGTCGGGCCCCCGAGAAATCGACCCGGGAGGCCCCGTCGGGCATGGTGTCGGTCACCGCACCCTTCTACACCACACCCCTTTCCGAGTTCCAAACCTGCTGCAGGCGCCCGCGGACGCCACGCACGTGCTCCGGACGCGCGTCGTGGGCGGCGCCCTCGCGACCTGCGACGCGTCCGATCTGCAGGATATCGGCCACCGGTGGCGTTGCGTTGGCGTGGCCGCCCTGGCGTATGAAACGCTCCATCCTGTTCGCCCGGCCCCGGCAATCCCTGAACAGCGCATCATTCGGCATTATTTTTCCAGTGCGCCCAGCGCCCATGCGGAGTGATGCGGCTCGACGGGGAGGCCGGAGAGTCGCGGCTTCTGGGGGCGCTTCCATCCGCCGAAAGGTACGCGGCGTTCCGTGGATGGCGCCCGCGACCTCGGGCGCGGGGCCGACAGTGCCCGAACAGCACGCTTTGGCAGATTTCGGCCAGGCGGCGGCTGCGGGGAGGTGCGAAATTCCGGCCTCCAGACGCCCCCAGGCGCCAGTCCTCGTTCGGCCGATGTCGGCCGACGCGCACTGCGCCGAACATCGCCACAGAGTAGTCCAGAGGTGCGCTCGCCCCGATTCCGTGCAGTGCGGCCAGTCGCGGTTCGTTTGGGATTTCCCCTGGCCAATTCAGCTGGACCGGCGGCCGTGGGAGTGCCTGAATTGTAAGACGATGCGCGCCCGAGGCGCCGATGATTCTTACCGCCGTAGTTTTCCCGCGACGGATTCCGACGTGGTGCGCTGCGTCCCCGACGCCGTGCTCGTCCGCCCGGATTCGGACGAGTCCAAGGAAGGGCCCTGTTATCCCCCCGCCTGATGGCAGCCGCCGGCCCGAATTTGCTCGCCACGCGTGCGCGGGTAGGTAACGGCAGGGAGATGGCGTCGCAGGATTGGGAGCGACCTGCGTAAACCCGCCTCTGCCCCCATGGGGTTAGCGGTCCTCACCGGCAGATTTCTTCTTCGGTTTTTGTTGGTCCTGCAGGAGACTTTGAGCCTTGGTGAGTGCCGCCGCAGGCTGCTGAAGGAGTACTTCGCGGTCGCCACGGGGGCAGACGACGCCCGCGCGGCCAGGGCGCTGGTCGGCAACGTCGCCCATTTCTTCCCCAGGCGGAAGCTCTTGAGGACGATTGCGATGCGAGCTTTTCCCGGCCCAGTCTCCCGCAGGGTGTCCACCCTCGTGGCCATGCAGGCGGTGTACAACGGCTCGGGGATCCGGATTGATGGGAACTACAAACTGGCGAAGAAAATTTCGGCACAGATGGGGCAGAGGAAGCAGATGCCGTTCAGCTGCGTCCTGGGGATCTGCGGCACCGACGGCTCGCCGCTGCAACCGGTCACGCCCGTCCGCGGAGAAACGCGGGCGGACATCCGGAAGGCATCCCGGGCCTGGGCGGCAGGAAATGAATCACCCCCCCCTCTCCTCCCAGGGCGCACCTGGCGCCCCCCGACGGCAATTCATGGTTGCAGTTTTCTTTCGAAAGCCCAGGAAAGGAAGGGGATGGGGAAGGGGGGAAAAGGGGCCGCGCCCCGCCCGGGCCCGAGGTTCTGTTCCCGCTCCTGTCCAGCATCGTCCATGAGCGGCAGACGGCGGGCCTCTCGCTCGAGGAGGCGTGCCCAGCTTTCGTAAGCACGGACACGTACCACAAGCACTACAGGAAGTACAGGGCGCTGGCAGACGAGATTGCGCAGCTCAGCCGCCTGCGCGTCCGTGGCCAGACGCCCCGCGGCCAGGTCGCCTCCTGCAGTGTCTCCAACCCCGCTTTCGAAATCTTGGTGGCCGGCGAACCTTTCCACGACGTCCTCAACGCCCGGAGGTGCGTGGGCCCGCAGGCGAATGACAGTTCTGATTTCTGTTTCGACCACGCGGACATGCTCGGGCGCCTCAACGCCCCCGCCCCGCCCGCGCGACCGCAGGGGGAAGCCGCCCCCCCCGCGCTCGGAGATGCTGGGAGGGCCCTGCTCCGCGCAGCGGTCACCCAGTCCGCGGGTGGCTTTGCTGCGACGCTGGCGCGCGACCCGGTCGCCTCGGTCGAGTTGCGCGCTTTCCTGGCGTCGCCCGGCGTTCGCAAGGCCAAGGTGTTGTGGCAGGCCGTCGGGGCAAATTGCGACGCTCCCCTCTGATTCCCGGGACCCCCGCCTCCCAGCCCCCCGTCTTCGTAAAGCCCGCCCGCAGTAACCGAGCGGGGGCGTCCTTGCGGTCTCGGGGCCATCCTTCGGGGGAGAGCCTTGAAATCCGATCTCGGGTTCTTCCTCTTGGAACGTTTTTGGGGGCCTCTAGAGCCCGCTGAGGACCGTCCTGCTAGCTCCTCGGGCGGACTTGGGGCGATATGGGCACGTGCATCCGTGCGTGGGGATTGCCGGGGCGAAAGGTTTTAGTGTCCCCCCGAAACCAGAATTTTATTATTCCCAGGGTGCACGTCTCAGGGGCACTCGGTTACTGGCGGCCCTGGTCATGGGGGGGCCGAGCGGGCGCGGGTATCCTGCCCCGCCGCCGCAGGGCATGTTCGGCGCGCAGCCGCCGCGGCCCGTGCTCGCACGGCTGGCTCGACGCGCGGGCGCCCAGTTGCGCCCGAGCCTCGGCTGGTGCAATTACCGAAGCCGCAAAGCGTTCAAGGCCGAGGTCCGCAGGATGCGACAGTGGTACTCGAAGCCGAGGCGACTCGCGCGCCGCCGGCGTGGGATCCTCCGCGTCGGCCCCGCAGCTCCCGAGAGCGTCCGGGGGCGGCAGTGCGCATTTAACGGCAAGCTAAAATCAGGATGGCTCCGCCTCGCCGCCAACGCCCCAGGCCCGCGCGAAAGCGACGCGGTGCCAGCGCAAGGGGGTCTGCCAATGCCCGCGGAGGCTCTGCAGAGGGCCCGTGCGGTTCGCATTACAGTAGGCTTTTGAAGAAGCTGCGACTCGACGGGCTGCTCGCTTGGCAGCGTTGCGCGGAGAGCTTGCGCCTGGCGGGGATGGGCCCGCGATCTGGCACGGTGCCCGTGGAGACGATGTGGTCCATTCAAGCATCGTATTGGCCCGAGCGCACTAAAAATGTGTCAATCGAGCTTTTCCAACTGTTCGCGAACTTATCGAACATCCTTCGGCCTATCCGACCACCTTGCCTGTGTTGTGGGTCAGAGCCCCCAGAGATGCTTCTTGGGGTATATTCGGAGCGCTCTCGGCCTCTCTGGAGGGCAGTGCTGCAGCCTCTGGGGAGCTCCTTGGGGCTTCCTGGGGGCCTCTTGGGGGCATCTTGGGGCTTATTGGGGGCTTCCTGGGGGCATCTGTGGGCCGAGTGCACGACGTGTCCGTTCGGGCCCCCCGGGCCCCCTCTCGGGGCCGTCTCGGAGGCCTCTTGGGCCAGCTTGGAGGCCTCTTCAACCGACTTAGGCCATCTGGGGCCATTGTGGGGGCCCCATGGGAAGCCTCTTGACCCGTGTTGGGGCGATCTCGAAGGCGGCGATCTTGGGCGTTTGCGACCGATCGTTCGAAGACTCGGGGCCCTCTTGGACCGTCTTGGGGGCTTTCCGGGGCCCTTTCGGCCCATCTTGGAGCTCTCTTGGCGCCCCGAATGCACGCGGGACAAACCCCAACAGCGCGCCAGAGCGCCCAGGAGCGCCTACGAAACCGAAGGTCCGGGCCCTGAAGTACCTCACATCCTGGGGCCCTCCACAGCGTGCAGAAGGCACGGTGGCGGATCTTTCTTGCGATGCCTGCGGTCTCATTTCAATCGCGCCGACCTCCCGCCTTGGGCGGAGAGCGATTTGCTGTGCCCTTTGCCTGCGGCGCCCCCGCCGTCTCCCTTGTCTGGCACGGACACTCCAGATAGACGATCATAAATGAGACCGCGCGCGTTCGCGGCGAGCGGGGGCAGTGGAAGATGGGGGGAGGATGGCGAGGGAACAGGAGGGGGGAAAGGAGAGGCAGGAGGAGGTACCGGAAAGAGGGGAGGAGGAGGAGGAGGAGGAGGAGGAGGAGGAGGAAGAGGAGGAGGAGGGGGAAGAGGAGGAGAAAGATAATCCCAAAGAGGCCGATGGGGGAGGCGCCGACGGGCGCTTCGTGGAGGCCTCGCGGATATTTCGACAGCGTTCAGCGGGCCCTCCAGTTGCTATCTGACGAGGCCCCGCCGTTGCAAAGGGAGCTCGTGGAGGAATGCCGAGCGCCGGGCCAGGGACCTCCGGGCGCGCATCTCGATTCTCGTTGCCCCGCTTCCGCTAGCACTGGGTAGACCCAGCCAGGCAGGGGTCCGGAGAACCATTTTGAACAGGCCAGGCGCTCCTTGAGGCGCACCACAGGGAGGGGGCGGATGAGGTGGAAGACGATCAGGGGAGAAGGAAGAGGCAGAGGAGGAGGAGGAGGAGGAGGAGGGGGAGGAGGAGGAGCAGGAGCAGGAAGCAGGAACGGAGGAGGAGGAGAGGAGGAGGAGGAGGAGGAGGAGGAGGAGGAGAGGGGGCAGAAGAGGAGGAGGAGGAGGAGGAGGAGGAAGAGGAGGAGGAGCAGCAGCAGCAGCAGGAGCAGGAGAAGGAGCAGGATGCGCAGAGGGGCCTTCCCCCCGTGGGCGCAACGCCACCGCGGGCCACGCTCCCGTAGGCGCGCCCAGGGGAGGGGACGGACGAAGCGGAGGAGGAGGAGGAGGAGGAGGAGGAGGAGGAGGAGGAAGAAGAGGAGGAGGAGGAGGAGGAACAGGAACAGGAACAGGAGTTCCGCAGGAGCAGGAGCAGGAGCAGGATGTGCCAAGAGGCCTGGCCACTCGTGGGCGCAACGCCGCCACGCAGTTCTGCGCTCCGCCGCCCGCTGGCTTCAGCGTTTCTCCTCATAAGTCCTGCTCCCTCTTTCTCCCCCCTCCTCGGTCTAGGGCCCCCGCAGGCTTCCCGGGACGTTTTGTTTCTGTCCTCCTCGATCCTGCCCCCCCCCCCTTCCCCCCGCTCACGAAAGAGTACATATTGCAGGCGACGTTGCCGACAATAACCATTCGTGTCTCGACCTGGCAGGCTGTCTGACGCGTGCAATTCGTGCATGCCTGTTGTGGGCTATGGAATTTTGTTGCCAGCGCGCAGGGCGCGATGCTGGCCAGGTCATTGCCCAGAACGAGGGAGGCTTCGAGAGCTTTCGGGCGCGTGGACGTGCCCCGCTCGATTGCTGCGCCGTGTACGTGTAATCGTGGTTGCGAGGGGGCGTGCCAGGCAGGACTCTTCCCGGTGCCCCCGAGAGGGGGTTCAGTTTTCTGCCCGCGGACGGTTTCTGCACCGAGGGCCGACATACAATCTCGAGACGGTGATGGAGTCACTGTCGCTGTGTAGAGCCCCCTGCTCGGGAACGACGTCTCTTTTCGTCTCTGGAGCCCTCGGCCCGACCGCAAGAGAAAAAACGGCCTCGAGTAAAAAACGACGTCTTGATGGTTTCCAAACAGAGTTTCCAGAGCTCACGACCCCATACTTGGGATCAACGTTTCGCGCCGTATCGTTCTTCTCACGTTCCTGGAGACCGAACGCGGCCCCCGGAGGCAGAAAACGGCAAGCAATAATCCATTTCAAGACGTCGGAGGGGTTGCGAATCGGCCTAAAACTCCAGGCATTTACCCCCGGGTTTTTCAAATTTGCCCCTGGACCTCTCCAGGGGTGCATTCCGATTGGAATTTCGACTCGGCTCCATCCGCGGTGACGATAGGCCTCCTGGATCTTCGACCCTTGGCGACTCGGCGCGCCAAGGGGGGGGGACGAGGAGGAGGAGGAGGAGGAGGAGGAGGAGGAGGACGACGACGACGACGACGACGACGACGACGGCGGCGGCGGCGGCGGCGGCCGCGGCGGCGGCGACGACGACGACGACGACGATGGCGACGGCGACGACGGCGACTGCGACTGCGACGGCGACGGCGTCGGCGACGGCGACGGCGACGGCGACCGGGCCAGACGCCGCCCCGCGGGGTGCGAAGCCCACCGCCAGCGGGCGCGGGGACGACAGGCCTCCCAGATCCTCGGTCCTGGATCCTCCGAGCCGCACCCCGATGCTTGGGGCTGGTCCTGGACCCAGGACGCGCCTGGCTAGGGGCCGTGTGCTCCGAGACCACAGATCCGCTCGCATCGGGTCCCCGGACTTCTCCTGGGAACAGATGCGCCAGTTTCTCGAGCCGCGTGCAGCCGCGGCGACGGGATGACCCTCCGAGGGCCACAAGCCTCGCTCTCGACGTGGACGTCGCCAGACGGCGACGGCGACGACGACGACGACGACGACGACGACGGCGACGGCGACGGCGACGGCGACGGCGACCGGGCCAGGCGCCGCCCCTCGGGGCGCGGAGCCAGCCCCTGGCGGCGCGGCTGCTGCGCAGCCGAGGAGGAGGAGGAGGAGGAGGAGGAGGAGGAGGAGGAGGAGGGGGAGGAGGAGGAGGAGGAGGAGGAGGATGGGGGAGGAGGAGGGAGGAGGAGGAGGAGGAGGAAGAGGATGGAGGAGGAGGAGGAGGAGGAGGAAGAGGAGGAGGAGCAGGACCACAGGGAACCAATGATGCATCAGCGATGCTGCTATACGCTCTCCCGTTCCATGTCCCCTCTGATAAGTCAATACAGGTATTCCCTTTCACACCTGGGCGCGCGCCCTTGAAAGACAGGCTCCCCGTTGGCCTGACAGGCGCCCCATGGGCCTGACATGCGAGAACCCCATTTTGAAAACCACCCGCCCTCCATCCGTGTAACTGATGCCCGCGGCGCCGCAGCGAGAGCCCCATTTTGAAAACGGCCTGCCCTCCATCCGTGTAATTGTTGCAAAGTTGAAGACGAATGTGCGCGGCGCCGGGGCGGGAACCCCATTTTGAAAAGGGAGCGCCCTCGATCCGTGTCATTGTCGCAAAATTTTCAGACGAATGTGCGCGGCACCAGGGCGAGAGCCCCATTTTGGAAAGGAACCGCCCTCAGGGGCGTTCCTCGGGAGGTCCCGTTCGGCGTGGTGTCGGGGCCCCCGAAGACTTGCCCGGGAGGTCCCGTTTGGCATGGTGTCGGGCCTCCGGGGGCATCCCCGGGGGGTCCCGTCTGGCATGGTGTCGGGCCCCGCGGGCCTGCCCTGGGAGGTCCCCTCTGGCATGGCGTCGGGCCCCTGGGGGTCCTGGGAAGTCTTGTTTTTGGCATGGTGTCGGGCCCCCGGGGGCCTCCCCTTCGCATGGTGTCGGGCCCCCGAACATCTGCCCCAGGAGGTCCCGTTTGGCATGGTGTCGGGCCCCCGAAGCCCCGCCCCAGAACGTCCCGTTCGGCATGGTGTCGACTTGCGGGAAGTTTTGTTTTTTGGCATGGTGTCGGGCCCCCGGGGGCCCCCGGGGGCTCCCCCGGGGGGTTCCGTTTGGCATGGTGTCGGGCCCCCGAAGACCTGCCCCAGGAGGTCCCGTCTGGCATGGTGTCGGGCCCCGAAGGCTTGCCCCGGGAGGTCCCCTTTGGCATGGTGTCGGGCCCCTGGGGGTCCCGGGAAGTTTTGTTTTTGGCATGGTGTCGGGCCCCCGGGGGCCTCCCCGGGAGATTCCGTTCGGCATGGTGTCGGGCCCCCGAAGACCTGCCCCAGGAGGTCCCGTTCGGCATGGTGTCGGGCCCCCGAAGCCCCGCCCCGGAACGTCCCGTTCGGCATGGTGTCGGGTTGCGGGAAGTTTTTTTTTTTGGCATGGTGTCGGGCCCCCGGGGGCCTCCCCGGGAGGTTCCGTTGGGCATGGCGTCGGGCCCCCAAAGACCTGCCCCAGGAGGTCGGGCCCCCGAAGCCCCGCCCCGGAACGTCCCATTTGGCATGGTGTCGGGTCCCCGGGGGCTTCCCCAGGAGGTGCTGTTTGGCATGGTGTCGGGCCCCCACGGGCCTCCCCCGGGAGGTCCCGTTTGGCGTGGTGTCGGGCCCCGGGGGGCCTCCTGAAGCTCCGGAAGCTCCTGAAGCTCCTGAAGCTCCCGAAGCTCCTGAAGCTCTTGAAGCTCCTGAACCTCCTGAAGCTCCCGAAGCTCCTGAGGCTCCTGAAGCTCCTGAAGCTCCTGAAGCTCCGGAGCGTCAGAAACGTCAGAAGCGTCGGATGCGCTGGGGGCCCGGGATCCAGGAGCGTCAGAGGCGTCAGGAGCGTCAGGAGCGTCAGGAGCGTCAGAAGCGTCGGAGGGTTGACGGCGCCGCCTGCCCCATCAATCGAATTTTCCATAGAGCCGTCGGGCCTCCCAGGCGAATATGCACGCTGGGCTCAACTTCGGCGAGACCTCCTAAACAACGAATTGATGCACGTGCCACTCGGGTGACCGCCTGCGACTTGGAGGCAGTCGAGCAGGAGATGGGGGATCTGTCCCATAGCCTGCGCCTCCTTCGTTGGAAGCGTCTTCGGGCCGTTCGTGAGTCTTACGCGCAGGCCTCATGCGAGGCGCGGGCCAGGCGTGACATGTGCGAAGCAATGGGATGGGCTCGGAGAGCAGCCAGACGCAGGTTCTCAGCAAAAAACGAGATGGCAGAATATTCGGAGCAGCACCCATCACCAGTACTGCATGGCTCGACGCATGGTCGCAGCCTGGGGGGGGGGGGGGGGGGGGGGGGCGGCGGGATGGAGGTTCAGCAGATCGACCTTGGCGAGTGGCGAGCACAGCGAGACGACCTCGACATGGGCCAAATCTACGATATCGCCCGATATGATGATCGACCCGACCAGCTAGGATATTCTGATATCGGTCGACTGCGCCGCTACGTTCGCCGAGCCGCGAAACGTCGATTGGCCCCTGGAGGCGCGGCCCCCCGTCGAGGTCCGACGGCAGCTGCTACGTCCCGCACGAGGCATGCATCTTCAGTGCCCTGGTCTGGGAGCACCTAGAGCCTCTGAGGGGCCCGCCCTGTTCTCAGAGACCCCCCTGGACGGGGTGAAGAAGATCAGAATTACAGATTTAGTGCCGCTGCACTAGAATGTGCCCCAGGGATATGCCTTGCGCAAATCGGCTCAGCTTGGGCCGCGCGGCATGGCTTTTTTCGCGGATCTGTTGCCCAACGAGCTTGCCCCAGAAGATTATGGTTTCCAGAAGCATCGGAGAAGGGAAGGGCCCATCATGGCTTCCAAGGTGGCGGGGTGGAGACCACGGAAGGCTGGGTGAAGTTTCGGGGCCAGCTTGAAAGACCTGAGTAACGCCTTCGGTAGTGCGAGTTGGGAAGCATTGGTCACTGCTATGCCTGCGCTAGTCCAGCCTGAACATGCTGGCCCATGCAAACATAGGCATCGGGACACGGCCATTTTACCACCTACTAATGAGGGGGAGTTAGCGGTCAAGACGGGAGTGGGAGGAGCAATGGGGGGCCCGTTCATGGCGGCTGCATTATCGACGGCGTTCAGCCGCCCAGTGGCAAGGTGGACGCATGCCCTGCGAGAAGTTGATCCCACCCTCGCCCTCCTGCGCGCTGAGTGGGGCGGCCAAGAGGTCGCCTTCTGCTTGTTCAAGTACGCGGACGATTTGTACCGCTGCATTTCATGCCTCTTGGGGACTCTATGGGATCCGTCTTGGCCAAGCTAAAGAACTCCGACGATATCCTCGACCCCCTCCTCCAGGAATCCGGGTGCAAGCAAAGACGGGAGAAGCAGGAGTTGGCTGTCTGGATCGAGGGGGAGGGGGCCATGATGGGCAAACGATGGCTTCGCGGCCTGGACAGGCCCTCCTCTCTGGAGCTTTAAAAGACGAAGTTCGGTTTCTTGAACTCATGTTTCCATGCCCCAGGCATCCTGTCAGGAGGTAATTCGCCGGCATCAGGCCGTGCGTGCAGGGCAGCCTTCTTCTCCATGGGCGGCTTCTGGTCTCTCAGTCTGCCATGGAAGTTCACGCGCTCGATGTTGATGTCATTGAGTCAGATTTGAGCTCTCTGTGGATTGGAGGCGTTTTTGCTCGCGAAGAAGCAGTGCGCCAGTTTGGACGCAACCGTGGCGCACTATGCTCGCGCGGCCATGCGCGGGCGTGCTGGTTGGAAAACTGAGACAGGAGCGACCCGCACGTTGACGTCAAAAGGTGTTCTCCAGCATTGGCGCATCTGCGAAACGTACGTTGAGCTCGGCATTAGGCGGTTGGACTGGCACAAGGCCTGGGCCCGCTTTCCCTCCAGCCACCTGCAGCTGCTCTCGGCCCTCTTCCGTTCGGCGCCCTTCGAGTCGCAGCCGGCGCCCATGGTCGAGGGGGCTCTTACTTCAATGGTTTCCCCGTGGGCTCGTCGCGTCGCTGGAGATGTCGAGCGGGCGCAGGGCTTCTTGCGCGATCGCGAAGATCCCTCGGTTTCCTTCGCTGCCCGCCCCGGCCTCATGCGGGGCCCCGAGGTTCAGGAGGGGCTTGATCATATCGACTTTACTGAAATGCGTTCTTGCTTATTTGGTTCTCAAGTGGCGCCCCCTGAGTACACCGATCAGGCCCCATATGCTAACCCCAGAGTGATCGCGGACCCCGGCGAGGCTGAGTTCGTTTGCCAAGTCGAAGAATGCGGGAAAAGGTTTACCACCAAAAAGGGGCTCATGGCCCCTATTTTCGTTCACGACGTGATTACCGATCATTCTGTCATATATTGACTCTAACAAACATATGTTTATGTTGTCTGGAAGTATTCTGGGACAAGGCATGCGCAGCCAAGCATCTAGCATCAGCGGCACTACGGGGGCATTGACGACTCGGCGGGGGCAGGGCGCTGCGACCTCTGCAGCCACCATCGACGCCGGCGTGTCCCCTGCGCGAGTTCGAGGCTGTTGATCTAGACGATTTATGCCATCACTCACGCAGCCATCTGCCTGGCTCAGTTCTTCCGCGGCAACGGGCACGGCTGCCCAACGCTCCTCGCTGTGACGTCGGCGGAGGCGTCGGCGTCTGCGACGGGGCAGATAGTGCAGGCGGCTCCCTGGATGCAAGATGTGCATGCACCACCACCGCCCGCAACAGCAATTTTCCGCAAAATGGGTTAGGGGCAGGGTCATGCCAGACGATGCTGCGACGCCATGGCGAAAAGGAGCGCGGCGCAGCTCGCAGGCGCCGTGGCATGGGAAGTTCCTGAAGCAGAAACAGCACTTCTTCGTGGTGGTGTATGAAAATCGCTCCCCTTGGTAACCGAAATTATATACACCACCACCGCGCGTGCTTTGATGAACTCTGTTTCGGTCCTGAAGAGAGAGAGGGGGCAGCCCGGTTGCCGCTGGCGGCGGGGAGGGGGGGGGGGCTGCGGGCTTTTCACCAGAGCAAAACTGCACCACATCGCTTCGCATATTATTCTCGATCTTGGTGGTGGTAGTCAGATGCTGTGCTCGGAAGATATTCCGTTTCCTTCGAAGCGTGGGGCAGATGGGGCCCTGGCATCGGCGCCGCCGCCAAAAGACTCGAAGAAGGAAGGCCAGCGGCGCAATGCCAAGAAGGGGGACTTGTGCGACGCGCCGGCCAAGGTGGTCGCCAAGCTGCGCCTCAGCGACGCCCGCGAGCTGGCGAGCCTAGCGGGCGCGGTGTTTCAGACGTGGGAGCTCGAGGAAGAGCCCAAGGGCGTCACCCGGATCATGAATGACTCAGGCGGAAAGTGCGACGCCGTCTCAAAAAGCATCAAGGAGCGCCAGATGAACGGCGAGAAGATAGATTTCCGCGCAAGAGGGCCGCCATGCGTGCAGCTGTGGGCCGCGGTGCCCTTCCACCTCGCCAACTACATGGGCGCGTTCCTCGAGGGCAGCGGCGGCTACATGGAAAGCGAGAAGAAGGCGTTCCTCCAGTATTTCCAGCAGCATATCAATGCGAAGACCCCGCAGCAGGTGGCCAAGCACGCGCTGCGCTTCAGATATCGCAAGCACAAGCACGCGAGCAAGAATGCCCGCAAGGAAGACGACGACAAGACGAAGAAGGGCAGGCTGACGTTCGCGCTCTCGCACGACGAGCCAGGTCGCGAGGCGAGGTCGATGATGATTCAGTTCCTGAACAACTCGGTGGTCTCCAAAGCGGCGCAGCTCATGGGGCCAGCCCCGCGCGGGCCCTCGGAGAGGGGGGCGGCGCGCCTCCTCGCCCTGATCGACAAGGGCAAGAGCGGCTGAGCCAGCGCATGGAAGTATCCAGAGAGAGAAGCCGCTCGCGTGAAGGAGTGCGGGCCAGACAACACCTGAGTATGGGTGCTTTTGTAGGTCGTCAACGGTTAGCGTCTTTAGTGGCCCGAGGAGTTATCCCCGACCCGCTTCAGGCCACGAGCTTCGATATTTATGATAATTTTGATTTCCCCCCGATCCCCTTACTTGTGGCTCCGAGACGGGCTCCACGTAGGGGGCGGGTCGGAAGGCGAAACGCGGTAGGTCCAGTTTATAGTCGGTCCCCCAGACGGCTCCTCTCACGTGCCCGCGCGGCGCTCGAGGTTCGCCGTCGTTCGGGGGCAGTGCTGGCCCAGCCAAGGGGGGTTCCCCTGTCCTTTCAAGGTTGACCCGCTCATCCTCGAAGTCGGGTCGCGCAGAGTCCGTTGCCAGTTTTGTGGCATGAGGTTTGAGTAACTCATGTGGGCTCCCCGCGCACTGATCATTGCTCATTGCTCATTGCTCCTCCTCCTCCTCCTCCTCCTCCTCCTCCTCCTCCTCCTCCTCCTCCTCCTCTTCCTCCTCCCCCACCTCCATCGCTTTTCCTTAGAATCAGCTCCTCCCTGTCGCGTTCGCAGACGTGTTGGTAGGGCGGGCCGGGCGGGCCGCCTGAGACTACCTCAGCATTTCTGCTCTTGGCGCATGAAATTGCAACAGCTTCAAGGTTGGAGAGCGGGTTGCTTCCAAAATGTTGTTCTCGGTTTTGCGCTTCGCGCATGTTTTGCAGTATGCAGCAGTTTCGCGTATGGAGGGCCGTTGATGATCAATATGTGGCTATCGCCTTAGCGCTGTACACACTCGTCTCAAAAGTTAGCAGCAACTTCAAGGATGGAGGGCGGATCATTTTCGAGCTGTGGCTCTCGCTTTAACGCCCCGCACGTTCGTCTTCAAGGTTCGCGACGGTTTCAATGATTCGTGCAGATGGCGCTTCAGAAACGGTGTTTTGGCATGGTCTAGAATTGTCAGGACGCAGCAGTCGTCACATGGATCCGCGGCATTGCAGCCCCAGGAATGTTGTCTTGGCACGATCGGTGATTCTCAGACGGCTGTCTTCTGATGGTCCAGTTCCCGCAATGAAAACACATTGTTGTAGGGACCACCAATGAAAAGGGAATTGGGAGCGAGGGTTTATTTGATCGCTTCGCTCATTCCGCCGGCGGTATTTTGCCATCGTAGGCGTTTGCCTGCGCGTTCGTTGCCTCTTGGGGCCTTTGGGGGCCGTTTGGGGGCCTCTTGGGGCTTCTTTTTGAGCCTCTTCGGGGCCTCGTGGGGCCTTCAGGGCGCCTCCTGGGCTCTTTTGGGGGTCTCTTGGGGCCTCCTGGGGGCATCTTGGGGTGGAAGGCTCGAATTTGTAGTTCGCGTTCCCCCTCTTGGGCTCCTCTTGGGGCCGTCTTGGGGCCCTTTTGGGCGATCTTGGGCGCCTCTGGAGCCGTTTTGGGCCCCTCTTGGGGCTGTCTTGCAGCACTCTCGGGCGATCTTGAAGCCCTCTGGGGCCGTTTTGAGTGATATTGCAGGCCTCTTGGGCCGCATTGGGGCGATCTTGTAAGCCTCTTGGGCCGTCTTGGAGCGCCTGTAAGCTCCCAAGGCGAGAAGGCCAAAACATTCAAAACTTAACGGAAACCGCTAATTTCTGCCTCTGTGGGGCCTGTTGGGTGGTCTCTTGGGGCCTCTTGGGGGTCTATTTGGGCCTCTCGGGGGCCTCTTGGAGGCTTCTTCGAAGCCTCTTGCAGCCTCCAGGGGACCTCTGTGCGCCTAGAGCTCGACATGTCCGTTCGGGTCCCTCGTCTGGGCCCGCTTTGGGAGCCATCTTGGGAGCCTCTTCGGTCATCTTGGAAGCCTCTGAGGCTGTTTGGGGGGCCTCTGGGACGGTTTTGGGCGCTCTTGGAGGCCTCTTGGGCCGTGTTGGGGCGATCCTGGAAGCCTCTTGGGCCGTCTTGGAGCGCCGGTAAGCCCCCAAGGCGAGAACGCCAACAATTTCAAAATCTACAGGAAAATAAATGTCTGCCTCTGTGGGCCTTCTTGGGAGGTCTCTTGGAGGCCTGGGGCGTCTTGAAGGCGCATTGGGCTGTCTGGAGGTCATCTTCGGCGTCTTGGATCGCTCTTGGGCTTTCTTGGAGGCCACTTGAAGCGCTCCTGCAACGCTCTTGGGAGCCTGCTGGGGCCTGGCCGGGACTTGCCCGGGACCTGCCCGTGGCTTGGCCGGGACCGGTTGCCCGGGACCTGCCCGTGACCTGCCGGGGACCTTGCCGGGACTTGCCGGGACCTTTGCCGAGACCTTGCCGGGACTTGCCAGGACTTTGCCGGGGTACTGTTCGTTTGGGGACCCCCAGGAGCGGCGCCGCGCGCGCGAATTAGAATATTGTTAACCAGTCACCGGAGATCTTAGCACGCCCTTGGCCCGTTGGGCCGGCGAATTGCATCGTTGATGCGTCTTGGGCTTGCATTGGTCCTCCTCTTCCTCCTCCTCCTCCTCCTCCTCCTCCTCCTCCTTCTCCTCCTCCTCCTCCTCCTTCTCCTCCTCTCGGGAGGCCCCGGGATGTCCCAAGAGGCTTCAGAAGGAATGGACCGACAACGTCCAAAAGCTTTGAGGTCCCCACCTGGATCCCCTCCTGGCAAGCTTGTCATCCCGATTCGATGTTCGGCGGCCCGAACTTGGCCCCCAAGTGATGAACATAAGTGGAAACTGCGGCACGATCCTTCGTAACTATCCCCAGCCGCGCCGGACTCCAGAAGCCGAGGCCTCACCCCCATTGGTCCCAGCTGGGCGCGGACGTTGTCCGCATCGGTGGCTTCTTATTCTCATCCTCCCCCACCGCGCCTCGAGGCAGTGGTGCCCCCTTCCGTGTGTTCGGGGCCTCAGGTTGGATTTTGACATCCGAGCTCAATCGTAAGTTGCAAACCGCTCAACGCCGTATGCTGCGCCGACCTGCCTTCCTGCCTGCCTGCCTGCCTGCCTGCCTGCCTGCCCCCCCCCCCGCCTCTCCGAAGACGTCGGTCGAGCTTTGCTTCGGTAGACCCCGAGCCAGGCCGAGAGGGCGGAGGCGGGGGGAGGAGAAGGAGGAGCAGGAGGAGTAGGAGAAGGTGGAGGAGGTGGAGGAGGAGGAGGGGGAGGAGGAGGAGTTGGAGGAGTTGGAGGAGAGTTGGAGGAGGTGGAGGAGGAGGAGGAGGAGGAGGAGAATAGGGAGGAGGATAGGGAGGATAGGGAGGAGGAGGAGGAGGAGGAGGAGGAGGAGGAGGAGGAGGAGGACGGGGCACCTTTCTTTCCTGAAGGGGTCCTCCTGGCCCTGGTCGCAGAGTGAAGAGGCGACGGGCCTCCGCAGGAGCCCCAGGCAACTCGCGGGGCGGCGGGGGGTAGGCTTCGAAACTCGTCGGGCACGCAGCGAAATCCTGACCCTGCCCCGCCGCCCATCGACTGAGGAAAACCCAGACATGATCGCGTCGTTGAAAAATCAGGACGGTAGGTTTTTCAGCTGTTTTCGGCCTCGGGGGGCCCTCGCCGGGCCTCGGAACCGTCAAAAAACGACTCGGGACGGAAAACCGGTCCCGGGGAAAGGGTCGGGTATGGAAAAAATCAGGACGTCGCATGTCTGGGAACCGATGCTTGGCTGGGCTAGGGCTCGGAGGTCGCCGCCTAGAGCGGCCCACGAGGAGGCTGCTCCTGGGGCCACCTGGACCCACCGTCAGCCGCGCGTGATGTGTCCTGGAACCTGTGGTCCTCGCTCGTTTCGCCCCCCCGTGCAGGTCTCGGCCGCCGGTGCTCGGGCGGGTGAGGTTTGCAGGTTCGCCCAGGCACGGCAGTCCAGGGGGAGGTCGCCCGGGGGGGGGGGGGCAGAGGCCCTGGAGCGCCGCCGAGAGGCAGAGGGCCCAGTACGGTCGGACCGAGGTACCTTCCTCCCCCTCCTCCTCCTCCTCCTCCTCCACCTCCTTCTTCCTCCTCCTCCTCCTCCGTTCCCCCTCCTCCTCCTCCTCCTCTCCTCCTCCTCCCCCTCCCCTCCTCCTCCTCCTCCTCCCTTCCTCCTCCTCCTCCTCCTCCTCCTCCTCCCTATCCTCCTCCTCCTCCTCCTCCACCTCCTCCACTCCTCCTCCTCCTCCTCCTCCTCCTCCTCCTCCTCCTCCTCCTCCTCCTCCTCCTCCTCCTGCCACCTCCCCCTTCCTCCCCCTCCTCCTCCTCCCCCTCCTCCCCTCCTCCTCGTCCCTCCTCCCACCTACTCCTCCTCCTCCTCCTCCTCCTCCTCCTCCTCCTCCTCCTCCTCCTCTCCTCCTCCTCCTCCTTCCCCTCCTCCTCCTCCTCCTCCTCTTCCTCCTCCTCATCCTCCTCCTCCTCCTCCTCCTCCTCCTTCTCCTCCCTCCGCTCTCCAAGGCCCCTGGCCGTCCGCAGACTAGCCGACGGCCTCGTGGGCTCCGTGGTCGACGTCGCTCCGCCGGTCGGATATCCCGCGCTGGCCGCCTGCAACGCCGCGCGCCTCACGCCAGGCTGGCGGTGGCGGCGTTGGCGACGACGACGACGACGACGACGACGACGACGACGACGACGATGACGACAACGACGACGACGACGTTGGCGACGACGACGACGACGACGACGACGACGACGACGACGACGTTGGTGATGACGACGACGACGACGACGACGACGAGGAGGACGAGGACGAGGACCGGGACCAGGACCAGGACCAGGACCAGGACCAGGACCAGGACCAGGACCAGGACGGCGTCGACGACGACGACGACGGCGGCGGCGGCGACGACGACGACGAGGACGGCGACGACGACGACGACGACGACGACGACGACGACGACGACGACGACGACGACGACGACGACGACGGCGACGGCGACGACGACGGCGACGACGACGACGACGACCACGAGAACGTTGAGAATGACGTTGGCTTTGCCGTTGGCGCCAGCGGCCGACGCCAACGGCCGACAGCGGCATGGACGTTGACGGCGTCGTTGACATTGGCGCGGAT